CACCAGCAGTCTTGCCAGCAAAGATTATCCTGCAGGAATTGTGCAGATTGAAGATCGGGTGGGATGACGACTTACCTGAGCACATAAAGAGGCGGTGGACTGACTGGTTAACCAGCCTTCCTGCTTTGGAACACTTCTCAGTTGCAAGATGTTTCAAGCCCAAAGATTTTGGAAATGATGTATTTGCACAACTACATCACTTTGCAGATGCAAGTGAGGATGCATATGGCTCAGTCAGCTACCTACTCATGCGTAACACGAGCAATGAGACACAATGTGCATTTATGATGGGCAAGTCCAGAGTGGCGCCTCTCAGGCCTCCTACCATACCCCGTCTGGAATTGACTGCTGCTACAGTAGCCATTAGGATGGATAGTGTCCTGAGAAGAGAGCTACAACTGAACCTTGCAGAATCAGTTTTTTGGACAGACAGTACGGTGGTGCTCCAGTATCTCCGGAATGAGACCACGCGTTTTCGTACGTTTGTGGCAAACAGAGTTGCAGCTATTCTGAAAGGCTCTGATGTGGAACAGTGGAAACACATCAGCACAGACAAGAATCCTGCTGACTGCGCCTCAAGAGGGCAAAGAGTAGATGAATTTATGAAGAACAGAACGTGGGTGTCTGGGCCAGATTTTCTTCGCAGTCCAGTAGAGTTTTGGCCTAACACTCCATTGAATTGTCCGGAAATCACTTCTGGTGATCCTGAGATCAAGAAGGCCACAGTAAACAAAATAGAGGTGGAAGAAAATGTTGCTCCATTCAAGAGACTGATAAATTACTTCTCATCATGGACAAAGTTGAAAAGAGCGGTGGCGTGGTTCCTGAAACTTAAAGCCTTACTTTGGAGTCTCTGTCAAAAACGTAAAGAGCTATGCGTAACCAGCGTGGAGAATAGCTTTGACAATGATCGACAGCTGAGGCAAAGTCAGATTGACAGTTTCAGGACAAGCTTTAAGCCTACACAAATTTCAGTGGAAGACCTGAATCAAGCAGAGCTCGATATAATCAGATTTTGCCAAAAGGAGAAATTCTCGGAAGAGGTTTCAGCTCTTCACAAGGGACAAAGTGTGAAGCGCAACAGCCATTTATACAAACTGAACCCTGTACTACAGGAAGATCTGTTGAGAGTTGGTGGAAGATTGAGCTGGGCAGCCATGCCGGAAATCGCTAAGCAGCCTATTATCCTGTCTAGAGACTTTCACATTTCTGACTTAGTCCTCCAACAGATACATGAAGAAACTGGGCATGGAGGGCGCAATCACATGCTCTCTGAATTGCGACAGAAGTTTTGGATCCCAAGTGCCAACACAGCCATTAGAAAGATCATCGCAAAGTGTGTGACATGTCGTCGCTTGCATGGGAGAGTTGGGAAACAACTGATGGCTGATCTTCCACAAGAGCGAGTGTTGCCAGATGATCCACCCTTCACCCGGGTTGGTGTAGACTACTTCGGCCCATTCGAAGTAAGACGTGGAAGAACCATCTTAAAAAGATACGGTGTTATATTCACTTGTTTAGCGGTTCGTGCAGTACACATAGAGCTGGCCTCATCATTAGACACAGATTCATGCATAAATGCAATCCGGCGCTTCATAGCACGGAGAGGACAAGTGAAGGCGATTCGCTCAGATAATGGGACAAATTTTGTTGCTGCCAATCGTGAGCTGAAGGAAGCAATCGCCGACTGGAACACTTCACCGTTTCAGCATCTATTTCAACAGCATGGAATTAAGTGGACATTTAACCCTCCCACTGCTTCACATCATGGCGGAGCATGGGAGAGGTTGATAAGATCAATACGAAAAGTGCTGAATTCTACTGTGAGAGAACAAGTTCTGGAAGAAGAATGCCTTCATACAGTCTTATGCGAGGCAGAGTCGATCATCAACAGCCGACCAATCACCAGGGCATCAAGCGACCCAAATGATTTGGAGGCTCTGACACCTAATCATCTTTTGTTGTTGAAAACAAAATCTTCATTGCCTCCAGGATTGTTTGACCAGAATGACCTCTACTCACGACGTAGATGGAAACAGGTGCAATATATGTCCAATCTATTTTGGAAGAGATGGACTAAAGAATACCTACCTCAACTTCAGGAACGTCAGCGGTGGGCCACAGCATCAAGAAACTTTGCAGAAGGAGATGTTGTTCTTCTTGTGGACGACTGTGCACCACGAAATTCATGGATTATGGGAAAGATCATCAAAACAGTTCCAGACAAGAAGGGTCTCGTTCGCCGAGTACGGATAAAGACAAAGACTAATGTTTTGGACAGACCCATCACCAAGATTTGTCTGCTTGTGGAATCTGAATGGGCTAGTGGTAAAGACTAAGCCCCTACGATGAGCCATGTGCTAGCAACCTCTGGCTCTTTCCTTCTTTCTCTCTTTCCTTCTTTTCTTTCTTATTCTTTTTCACCTGTTCTTTTGGAAATGGACAGAAACCAGCCTTAATATACTTTGCAAAGCTGATTGGCAAAGTATTGGACAATTCATTTGTCTATAAATAATATTTTGTCATGTGTTTAAACATTGGGTATGTCTAAACGTGGTTCATATTAAGTTTGTAAAGTTAAAAAATGTGGTAATTGTTCTAAGGCAATACATTATTAGAACAATTAGGGGCCGGTAATGTAAGCGCCAGACGTCTGCTTTATATTTTATTTACGATTGAGTTCATGTTTGTTTTATTATTCATAGATTCATTACATAAGTGCAGTAGTAGCATGAAACCCTGTGTGAGAGGGAAGGGGAGGAGCATGGACAGAGAGGTTAGGAGTCTCACGGTTTTCTGACCGTGTACACAGCTAGTATTGGATAACTGCTATTTTTTGGAATTTTCATGCCTTTTTTTTGGAAGGAGTTCATTGCTACATCCTCAGTTTGTAATAAATAAAACAGTCTTCAAACCATAATGCAACTGGAAGCATTTCTTTTGGAAACCAGGAACACGCGTCAGCCATAGACTCCCCTTTTTTGAACTTGGTTTATTGGAAATTACCCTACAGTCTGTTTGAATAATCTTTGGGAGCCCGAAGGTAGTGGAAAAACTTGATTAGTGCCTTTTTCACCATTTTAGCTTTCAGTATACGTAATGGAATTGCTTCCAGAAATCTTGTTGCTGAACACATCACTATAAGTATGTATTGGTGTCCGGATTTAGTCTTCGGCAGGGGACCCACACAATCCAATATATACTTTGGTGATGAACGGTTTAAAACTTTAAGACTCTATTCCAGCATTTAGATCACAAGTGAGAAGCATTTCAGGTGGAGACATAACCTTAATAAGACCTACGCCTGCTGGACTTTCAGATCCTTTGCGCTGCTGCTTCCTCTGAAGTGCGGGACAAACAGCGATCAGATGCCCAGGTTCGCAATTCCCACTGTCCTCCTGTCTATTCTTCCGACCCAGTGGGAAGGAAAAACTCCCTTTTAACAGGAAGAAACCTCCAGCAGAACCAGGCTCAGGGAGGGGCGGGGCCATCTGCTGCGACCGGTTGGGGTGAGAGAAGGAAGACAGGATAAAGACATGCTGTGGAAGAGAGACAGAGGTTAATAACAGATATGATTCAATGCAGAGAGGTCTGTTAATACATAGTGAGTGAGAAAGGTGACTGGAAAGGAAAAACTCAATGCATCTCAATGCAGCCTACGTCTATTGCAGCATAACTAAGGGAGGATTCAGGGTCACCTGGTCCAGCCCTAACTATATGCTTTAGCAAAAAGGAAAGTTTCAGGCTGAAGAGGGGCCTGAAAACTGAAGGCTCTGCCTCCCATTCTACTTTTAAATACTCTAGGAACAACAAGTAGGCCTGCAGAGCGAGAGCGAAGTGCTCTAATAGGGTGATATGGTACTACAAGGTCATTAAGATAAGATGGGGCCTGATTATTTAAGACCTTGTATGTGAGGAGCAGGATTTTGAATTCTGGATTTAACAGGAAGCCAAAACAGGAGAAATCTGCTCTCTCTTTCTAGTCCCTGTCAGGACTCTTGCTGCAGCATTTTGGATTAGCTGAAGCAGAAAATTAGTTGTCACGGTTCTGGGTCATTTTGACCCAGTATTTTGAGTTCTCATGTTTTGGTTTCATTTTGTATTTTGGGTTATATTCTAACTCTTGTGCTTTGTTGATTTTTTATTAGAATTCTATGTTTTTGTTTATTTGTGTTAAGGGATTAGTTCTTAGGTTTTGTGTCTCTGTGTCTGGCCTGCATCTTTGTGTAGTTGTTTCTTGTTTCCTGTTTTATTGTGTAGGTCCGTGTCTCATGTGAGTGTATTCAGTGTTGCCTCTCTTGTCTCGTCTCATCAATCACCTCCAGCTGTGTTCAATTTCCTCGTGTTCTCCTGTGTGTATTTAAGTCGTGTCTCCTCAGGTTCTAGTTGCTGGTCCATTTGTTAGTCTCCCGTAAATCAACTGTGTGTGTGTGTGTGTGTGTGTGTGTGTGTGTGTGTGTGTGTGTGTGTGTGTGTGTGTGTGTGTGTGTGTGTGTGTGTGTGTGTGTGTCTGTGTCCCTGCTCTCAACCTTCATGTGCCTATGCTCACCCTTGTTCGTGTTCATGTTTAGTTGTTCCCAGTATAGTTTAGCTTTAGTTCTATTTGCTGTTTTCTACTTGTGTTTTATATTTACAATAAACCTCCTCCACGCGTGCCTGCATTTGGATCCTCCTTCATTTTTCTCCACACGGCTCATCCTACTCACCGTGACATTAGTGGCCATCCAAGTCATTATGTCTTTAAGACATTCCTGCAATTTGAATAAATAAGTTATAGTTATAAGTATCCAAGTATATTTCACAAATTAAACGCATATGTTGTGAGGGGGGAGTGTAGATATTACTGATACTCCTGACCATCGATTTGAAGGTTTGAGTTTATGTGTTTGTTTTGCTGACTCATTCGTTTCCACGGTCAGACCACATCCTATGAGCTGAACATATAAAGCTGAGCATCACAGTGAGTTTCAGTGCATTCAGCGTCTGATCAAAGAGAGGGAAGAAGAAGAAATGTCCTGCCTGAAGAATTTCAGTCTTCTCATCTCATGTGTGCTCCTCTTCATCATCCAGCCAGGTGAGTGATGTTTTCCACTCAGTTTTTACTTACTACTTTTGGACAATATTTGCTGTTTGTGTGACACAATAAAAATATAAAAACCATACAGTACGTGGTTGAGATGTAATATTTTAACACCAAAAGTATAGATAGATTTTGTACATTTCAAGGACTCTTCTGTTATTGGAGTGTATTTTTTTATGTATCTGTATTATATTATACATATACATTAACAATGAATCTCTGTCCAAAAAATGCACTCAGTTTACTTTTTACTCACTATGAGCATCATTCATTATTCTCCCAGTAATTAAGGTTAGGATATGTATTTTTTCTATTCCAATCCATTTAAATAACCTTGATCAGATTTGATGGTTTTGTTACAGACTTTAAAAACGTGTTTTGCTTTTCTTTCACAAATGTGGGATTAAATTGTGTTAAAATGCACAAAGCAGTGATGTCATGTTTTGTGACGAGGACCCAGGCACAGAGAGACTTGATGGATTTAAGAATCTTATGATTTAATAAAGAAATTTGCAGACTTGCACAGAGATGGTAAAATTATGATGACTGATAACGGAGACGAAGACAACAGACGACGAGGACAAGGACAGGGAGGAACAGGGGTTTAAATGCACCAAGGAGACAGACAGAGAGAACTCCGGACAACTGGAGACATTTAGGGATGCAGGGACTGACAGAGACGGGGTAGAAGTCTCATCCTGACAAGTACAGTTTATCTTGCCTGGCTGGGCAGCTCTCTGGGTGCTCTGTAATTTAATTTACTTATTGACATTTTAAGAACCAGTCCATTTCACTCATCTGCTGATTTATGTGTCCTGATATTTTGTTTCTGTTTCAGGTCGTGGTTCTGAGATTATTAATGGGAAAGAAGTCGAGCCACACTCACTGCCTTTCATGGCTCATGTGATAAGTGTGACTGATTCTTGGTGTGGAGGGACATTAATCCATCCACAGTGGGTGCTGACAGCTGCCCACTGCACTGGGTAAGAATCTGAGACCTTATTTTAAAAATAATGCAGTATTTATTTTCAATGACTATTATTCCTTCAGTAACTACCCAGAGGTCACTGCCCTCACCTGTGGTCACGAGCTCTGGGTAGTTACTGAAAGAATGAGATCAGGGCCAGAGCAGCAGGAATGTGCTTTCTGTAAGCCATGACTGGCCTCTTCTTTAGAGAAATGGTCATTCATCCAGTCATTGGAGAGAAGCTCAGCTGCTTCTCTTCCACAGTCAAAATAATACACACTGCTATAATTATGCATGCAAAGCTCATAAATTTTAATGGAGAGAATGAATATAAAGAATATTTAAAGTTGAATTCTTGTTCATAGATTTATTTGTTTTACAGAGGTGTTCTAGAAAATGTTATTTGTGATGGAATAACAAGGAAAGTACGGAGCCCTGTGAGGGACATGGGAGGAAAATAAATGAAAATAAAATTTTGCGAGATCCTGAGTTACTTTTGTGAGATCTCGGGATCTCTCAAAATCTTAGGCCACATCTTTCGGAGGCCGCCAGAAGGAAGCTGACAGGGAGGTCGAGGCACAGTGTGCCGGGAGTGCGGTATTCTCGCCGTCTCTTGTGGCCTCGACCTCCCAGTCAGCTATCGAGCGCAGCGGGTGGGTAACAGACGACTACGAAAACATTGGAGCACTTTTTACAAATATGTGATGTCTTGATAAACCAATCAGATATTTGAAGTTTACACAGCTACATTTTTGCCTGATATCTTAAAATTTTATTTTGTGACCCAGAAAGAATAATATTAAAACTAAGCAGCTGCCACCATTGTTGGAAACTGGAATTGGCTGGGCTGCGCTATGAATTCTGGGATAGGATGGGCCACAAAGGAGGTCTCGCAAATCTTCATTTTTTTTCCTTCCATGTTTGTTGCGGGGGAAAGAAGTGTTGCACTCACTTAAAATAACACAGAAGCCACAGCTACATACACATCAAACATTTGATACATTTCTTCATCTAAAACATTTTATGTACATTTAAATTTCTTCATTCAGCTGGAAGAGAAAATAACGCAGATTCACCCAAAGCTCAGTAACAGCTATAACCCAGCCATATGTAGTAATACACAATAATAAAGAACTATGATGACTGTTTTAGAAGCCGCTGACCTGTTAACCTTTTAAATATGTAAACCTTCATCACCAGATTGTGTTTTTTCTTTTACAGGAGTTACTGGGTGATGCTGGGAGCCCACTCCAGAACGAAAAACGAACATTCCAAGCAACTCCGAGTCGTCGAGAAAAGTTTTCCTCATCCTGACTACTGTTGTGCAAAGCACGACAATGACCTCATGTTGCTGAAGGTAAGGTGATATATCAGGGTCTGATGATGATGATGAGATGATGAGATAGCCTTTATTTGTCAGTTGCAGGTCTTTTGCCCACAACCGATACAAACGATGTAAATGCACTGCTTCTTATTTAGCACCTTTCTACTCTACCTGAGCACTCAGAGCGTTACACAACATGGCTTATTCACCCGAACACATCTTTCTGTGCTTAAGTGCTTTCTATCTAACATTGACACACACTCACACTCTCACGTAGCATCAGAGCGCATCGTGGGGTTCAGTATCTTGCCAAAGGATTTCTGACATGCAGACTGGAGAGACCAGGGATCAAACACCAAACCATCCGATTAGTAGATAACCTGCTGTACCTCCTACAGCCAACTCAGGTTTTGCTTACTTAACTAAAACTTAGTTTCATTTTTTAAAATATAAAATGTATTTCCATGTCTTTATAGACATGTTTCAACTCAGCACTGCACATATTTCATATTTTCCAAGCAAAATATTAGAAATAAATGAGTGGTGCTACAACTCTTTAGCAAATATCTGTTTATTTAATGTAGTTAATGTAGAGAGATTCATCACCAATATCTGAGATTCTTTTTAACTTTTTTCAGCTTAAAGAACCGGTGAGGAAAACCAGGGCAGTGCAGTGGCTCGAGTTTGGCAACACTGTGAGAGACCCGGCAGCTGGCAGCAGGTGTCTGGTGGCCGGATGGGGAGAAACTGAAACAAAACAACCATCAGATGTCCTCAAGTCTGTCAATGTGACTGTGGTCGACAGGCAGAAGTGCAACTCTCGTGATTATTACAACCACGACCCTGTTATCACTGATGACATGATATGTGCTGGTTCAGATGGTACAAACGTCGCTGATACCTGTCAGGTACGTATGAAGAATACATGTATTTTTCCTTGTTTGAGGTAAATGTTCATTCAGCTCAACACCTGAAACACTGTCATGTGTTTGTTCTTGCTGCAGGGGGATTCAGGAGGCCCGCTGTTGTGTGATGGAGCGCTGGTTGGAGTCACTTCTTTTGGACGGGGTTGTGGTGTCATTACAAAACCTGGAATCTACTCGTTTATCTCAGAGAAACAACTGTACTGGATCAAAACTACGATGAAGTTATTCTAAATGTGTGAAACCACCAGCATGATTTGATGTTACAGGTGTCAAACTCCAGGCCTCGAGGGCCGCTGTCCTGCAGGTTTTAGATGTGTCCTTGATCCATCACAGCTGATTTAAATGCCTTAATTACCTCCTCAACATGTTTTGAAGTTCTTATGAAAGGTACTGGTAATGAACTCATCATTTGATTCAGGTGTGTTGACCCAGGGTGAGATTTAAGACCTGCGGGACACCAGCCCTCAAGGCTTGGAGTTCGACACCCCTGCTGTAGACCATTATCCGGTTTATAATTTCATTGCTCCTTTTAAATTTTATGATAGCTTAGTTTCTGCTAGCTTGCTGCACTTTTTTTTATAGATTCTGCACTTGGCTAGTCTGCTGCATACACAATTGGAAACACAGTTTGGCATTTTACCCTCTTTCACCATACAAACTGTACAGAAACAGGGTTATTTCTAATAATAATTTTTTCAAATAAATTAAAGAATTCCCAAACATAAGTGTTCCTGGTTGTTGCAGTAAAACCAGGGAGAAGCATTTTTTATGTATATACAAAACCAATGAACGTAAAATATTATTGTATTATATCCTACTGTTTTATTGTAGGGTCTACTTTACAATATAAAGCACCTTGAGGTGACTGTTGCTGTGATTTGGTGATGTTTGAATAAAATTTAATTTAATATAATTGAAATTGAAAATAAAAAATTGAGATATTCAGACTGTCAAACAGATTCAACACATCTTATACAACCAACTGAAAATGAGGCTTGTGGACAGTTTTTTTGAAAAAGACATTCTTTACATTCTTATTTGTTCCATTTCACATTATGACTGTGTGCTTGATATACTTGCTACTTTTTTACTTTCTAATAAAGCTGGAGGCATGAATAAATAAAGACACAATTCCTTCTCTTTTTCTTTATTTGTTTGCACTGCAGTTTCAAACTGTACCTTTCAAATGTCATTGTTAAAATGCTTAGAGAGTTTTATTGTCATTGTGCAGTTTCTTGCAAAGTGAAAGTGGGTAGCTGGGCCACAAGGTACAAAAGTAAAGAAGGGAAAACAATATACAATGAGGGGGGAAATAAATAAAAACCAATATATATGTATACATGTGTGTGAGTGAACTAATATACATGGTGTATACATAAAAGATTGAAACAGAAACATAACTACAGTATGCAACTGTGCAGAATAGAATAAAATAAAATACTATATACAGTAGAATAAAATAGAATAAAATATACAATAGGATAAAAATAGAATACAAATTCTGTATACAACTGAGTAAAAATACAACGATGCCAGAAAGGAATATTGCACTTAGTGTTATTGCACATGTGTGGATGTGTGTGTTTGATCAGTTGGAGTCTTTGTTGTGGAGTCTGACAGCAGTGGGGAGGAAAGACCTGCGAAATCTCTCCGTCCCACACCGTGGGTGTAGATGATCAATAGCAGCATTAGAGTGGATGTGTTGGAGAAGTCTGCCACCAAGGACTTGTTTAACTTCCTCAGTGCCCTCACCCCCAGTGATGGGCAAGTCTTTCCCCTCATCTTCAGACTCTGCTTCCTCTACAAAAGACATGTCACTGGGATTAAGGAAGTCCTCGAAATACTCCTTCCACCAGCATGCAATATCCTCAGTTCAAATGATCAGCGCTCCACTCACACTATACACAGTGCAGATATATCACTGCTTTCCCCTCTCGAGTTCCCTGATGGTTTGCCAGAACCCTTCGAGGCAGTCCAAAAGTCTTTTTCCATGGCCTCTTCGAATTCCTCCCACACCCAGGTTTTTGCTTCACCCACTGTACAAGCTGCGTTCCACATGGCCTGTCAGTACATATCTACTGCCTCTGAAATCCCACAGGCTAACTAAGCTTGATAGGACTCCTTGTGCCTGATTCTTCCCTTTACCTCCAGTGTCTACCATCTGGTTCAGGGTTACTGAAGGAAACGGTTTCCAGGGCCTACTCCGTGGATCGGCTTCCTCCGAGGCGTGGACGTCTATCAGCAGAGAATGTCCCTTAGTCTGTAACACAGTCAAATATATTCTCAAGTAATATTCAAGCATGCCATTCAGCGTGTTAGTACGAGCTCGGGAGCAGCTTGGGAGAACAAGAAAACAGAGACTGCTTCAGGTTGTCTTCCCAAAGTGACTCAACTTTATTCACAAGTACAACAGTTTATATAGAGGGTAAAATTCTTGAGACAGCAGATTATCAGTTTAAACCAGTACAGACCAAGATAAGGCAGCGTCTTCCTGCCCTTGGGTGAAGAAGCATCCTTTGTGTAGTTTATCAGTTCAGCTACAATTGTGATTATCTCAGCGACATATTTTCAAGGCACAAAACGAAGAGTTCTTACATTAGTGAAATCTGAAACAAACCATTTGGCCTTCAACAGGCGTCTAAAAGATTAAGAAACTAATGTAGCTGAGGGAGTGATCTCTGTGGTATTTCAACCTTGTACCAGCCTGTGATTCTCACACATCAATTCTTGGGTCAAAGAGAAAAATAACTAAAACAAAAGGGGCCTTATTGAATGACAGTTTTCCTGTATAATGTCACTATAAAACAATATCCAGTAAATGCTACCATGGTACTAAAATACCTAACAGTTACCACCGCGAATGCTGCTGGAGCTCTGCCTGAGGTGGGAGTTGAAGAACTCGCAGATCAGGCATTCCCAGCGCACCCTCCTTATTCGTTTAGGCATGCCATGTCTCCAATTGGGCAAAGCTGTTAAAGACCCTGCAAGTGTCTGGACGGGTATAAATGCCTGATCTGCGAGTCATATCATATCTAGCAGTAGAGGAACGCTGTCTGATTTGACTCTGCACTGTACCACTGTACATGGTTGAAATGACAATAAAAGTAACTTGAGGAGATGGAGAAAAGCAGCAGAACAGCACAGAGAGGACTGAGAGGCCATGACACAAACCTGGTCTGTAGTGATGGCCACATGAAGCTTTCTGAAGCATTAACGCATCAAAAAAAGGCTTCATTACTCCAAGCTTTTCAACACAGTCCTCTTTGGGGACATCTGGTGGCCAAAAATATGAAGAGCAGCTTGAATCTACAATTTAAATAAACTGGTTTGTTATTATTGCCCACTCTACAGAGCTCAGTTTATTTAACATCATCTGACAGCTCTGTGTGATATCACGCTGCCATTGTGGTGCTTTGAACAGGTTTTTTGTGGTAGAAATATTGTTACATCCATAATAATAATTTCAATGAATTAACCTTCCTTGTTTAAACATGTGCTATGATGTGTTCTCACTTTGCTTCTGACTTCTTGACATTTGTAAACATAAAAGATGAAAATGCATCATATCTTGTAAAATGCTGCTGCTGTGAGGTCCCGCCTCTATGTGGTATATTTGTATAGCGCTTTACTTAGTCCCTAAGGACCCCAAAGCACTTTACACTACATTCAGTCACACACCCATTCACACACTGGTGATGGCAGCTACATTGTAGCCACAGCCACCCTGAGGCGCACTGACAGAGGCGAGGCTGCCGGACACTGGCGCCACCGGGCCCTCTGCTTTTGATGGAGTAATGAAACAAATCTTGTTGTGTCGGCTATTTTAACATCTTTGGAAAAAAACAAAACAAAACACTAAGCCAGTATTTTGGTAACATGTTGAGTTTCCTGTGGACTGTTATCTTTCAAGGTAAGGCTCACAGTGTTCCTCTGATCACTGTATCAAACACTGATTTCCAATTCTGAGAATCACTCATCTATGAATGCAGCCAGTTTCTTCTATGATTTTCCAAACAAAGACAGTTTTACCAACCTCAGATAAGTTCAAGTTCAGATTTATTTATATAGCACTTTTTAAAGACAACAAGTGTTGAAGAAAGTTCTGTAAAATAAAATAGACAAAGCAGAAGACATAAAAGTATTTTAGGAGAGAATAAAATCATTAAAAGAATAATGGTAACAAAGTCATGATGAATCAAAAGCCAGAGAATAAAAATGGGTCTTTAGACTGATTTAAAAAGTATCCAGTGTTGGGGAGGACCTGATATGCAAAGGCAGTGTATTCCACAGTTTGGGGGCAGTCACAGCAAATGCCTGGTCTCCTCTGTGTTTCAGTCTGGACCTAGGGACAACCAAAAGCATTTGGTCTGCAGACCTCAAGGATCTTCACAAGGGGAGAATACCAGGTTAGGAGATTAGCAAGATACGTAGGGGCTAGTCCATGCAACGTCTTAGAAACAAGTCTTAACATCTTAAAGTCAATTTGAAAGCTGACTGGCAGCCAGTGTAGTGATGCAAGTATAGGAGAATAATGATCTGATTGCGTGTGCCAGTTAGGAGTCGTGCTGCAGCGTTTTGGACTAGCTACAGTTGGCCAGTTGATGAAGAGGTAATACCGGAGTAGAGACTATTACAGTAGATGAGATGAAGGCATGGATTGCTGAAACAGAAAGGGCTTAACCTTTGCAATTATGCAAATATGAAAGAAGCTGGTTTTGAATACATTAACTAAATGTACATTGAAATCTACATTGACCATAAATTTCTTGCAAACAGTTTTTTATAGTATCCTAAGGTGTCAAGGTCATAACAGTCAGAAGGACCCAAGACAATGACCTCAGTTTTCTGTTCATTTAGAGCCCTCCATGCCTTGACATCTTCTAGACAATCAAACAGTCCCTTCCCAGGATTCACCGATTTCCATTTCAGTGGAATATGAGAATCATCTGCATAGCAATGAAACAAATTACCTTTTTTTAAAACAAGTGATCCCAACGGGAGCGTGTAAATTCAAAAGAGGACTGGGCCAAGGGTAGAGACTTGGCCCTTGGCAAAAAAGCGTGGTCCTTGGAGACAATGTGTCTCTGAATCTAACAGAGAAAGTACGATTAGATAAGTAGGATTTAAATCATTCCAAAGCAAGCCCTTTAATTTCAGCACATTGTTCCAGTCGAGAGATAAGAATCCTGTGATCTACCATGTCAAAAGCAGCACTGAGGTCTAATAATATTAAA